ACAGCCAAGTGCAGACCATCTCAGACACCTGCACTCAGGCCCATGGTCCTAATCATCCTCTATGCAAATCTGCTGAGTAACGCCACAAGGAACCCAAGAAGGGCTCCCACAGGACATACATTAACATCCCACAGCACCACTGTTATCTGAATGGGCAAATCTTGTCTGGCAGATCCATATCGTATCATAGAGGATTCCCAGCTGGGTAAGACCGTGGATCCCTTCTCTCTCAGCACCCTGCACAGCACCTTCCAGGACTAGCAGTGTTGGCCAGTGGGGAGGATGCCTCCAACCCAACTGCAGTTTGATTGATCTGTGTGCTCTCCCCAAAGTGCGTAGCATCTTTAGCAATAAGGCCTTCCCCTCTTATAAGAGTAAAGGCATCTTAAAGAGGGACACTTTCATTCACGCCTTTGGGGGTGAGATTACTGAAACAAATGGACTTCAAAGAATTGAAATTTCCTCAGGAATTGCATGCTGTGGAAGGAAAAGACTGAACTCCTGGTGCTGACCAGGGAACTTGCCACCCAGGAAGAGATTGTACAGACTTAGAAATGAACTCTTTAGGCCACCTTGGAGGCTAGCCTGCCACGGAGACAGTGGTGGGTCAATGAGAGGCCGGACTGCACCTGACTCAGACTTGTAAGTTATTGACCTGGTGCCCTCTATTTAACTGAAAACTATAACAGAATATTATTTTAAGGTGTGTTGCTTTTGTTTATGTTGCATTTGTTTAACTCTATGAAGCTGTGTTACTGTGCCTGTCTAAAACACCTGATGGTCTAATAAAGAGCTGAACAGCCAATAGCAAGGCAGGAGAAAGGATAGGTGGGGCTGGCAGGCAGAGAGAATAAATAGGAGAAATCTGGGAGGAGGGGTGGAGGAACAAGGGAGATGGAGGAATGAAGTAGCCAGAGAAGGAGGAGGACTCCAGGGGCCAGCCACACAGCCACACAGCCAGCCATAGAGTAAGAGTGAAATTAAGATTACAGAAGTAAGAAAAGGAAAAAGCCCAGAGGCAAAAGGTAGATGGGATAACTTAAAGTTAAGAAGAGCTGGCAAGAAACAAGCCAAGCTAAGGCTGGGCATTCATAATGAAGAATAAGACTCCATGTGTGATTTATTAGGGAGCTGGGTGGTGGACCCCCAAAAGAAAAAAATGTAAAAAACCCCAACAACAATAGAAAACCATACCCTCCTGAAATGGATGTGGGTGTGACTCTTCCTCTTTCTAATATGGTTACATCAAATAAATCTCCTTTCTCTGCTTTTCACTGTTATTTATGCCATTAGTTGGCATTTTAAAGACAGGTGACCTGATTGTTAGGGCTGCCAGGGCCAGCCTTTGACCATACTAACTGTGGTCACAGTGCTACAAGTATATCGTAAATAAAATAAATCAGCTATATCAGAATTATAAAGGGAAAAGATTGAGAACATCTTACTTTCTTTTCCATTGTGGAATTTGTGCACTCAATTAGACATGTGTAAAACCCCTCACTTAACAAAACCAACTGTTTTGATCGGGGCTTCCTGGCACATGCCCATGATCCTAATACTTGGGAGGTGAAGGCAGGAAGACCAGGAATTCAAGACTATCTGGGTGCTTGCTTCGGCAGCACGTAGACTAAAATTGGAACGATACAGAGAAGATCAGCATGGGCCCCTGCGCAAGGATGACATGCAAATTCGTGAAGCGGTCCATATTAAAAAAAAAAAAAAAAGAAAAAAAAAAAGACCATCTGGATAGCAAGTTTGAGGCTACCATAGGCCTCTTGAAACCTTGCCTCAAACAAACAAAGAGGCTTTTTTTGACCTGGGCCTGGTGGCACAGGCCAAGTAATCCCAGATACTTAGGAGGCTGAGGCTAGAGTAGAGAAAGTTCAATGCTAGCTTGGGTAATTTAGGGAGAATGTATCTCAAAATAAAAAGTAAAAAGCTGGGCGGTGGTGGCGCACGCCTTTAATCCCAGCACTTGGGAGGCAGAGCCAGGTGGATCTCTGTGAGTTCGAGGCCAGCCTGGACTA